GCAAAGCGATTTTACTTTGACACCGGCATTTCATACTAAACATAAAAGGCAGAGTGAGTTGTACAAACACATACTCTGATTTCTCAGCATGTTTTTCAGAGCCGGTTTCAAGTAAAAGCGGTTTGCAGTGAAAAACCGAGTTCGTGCTAGTACGTCGCCATATATATGAAAGCAGCGCAGTTTACCTTGGAATAAAATTCTGTGTTAAAAACAAGCCAGATGAAGGACGGCTTAGACACACACACAGATCTGAAAATAGAGCATATTCATAGGCGTTTTTCCATCCAGCATAAAAGCAAGAGTGACATGTAGAAAAACATTCTTTGATTTCTCAGCATGTTTACTGACGCATGTTTCAAAGGAGAATCGGTTTGTTGTGGAAAATGGTGCTGGAGCGAGTGCCTACACTGAGATTTGTAAATACCATACTAGCCTCAGCCACAAATATTGCGCTTCTAACAAGTTAAGTGAAGGACGGATCCAAGAGAAATTCAGATGTGAGAAGTTAGCTGGTGGAGAGGCATTCTTTCATCAAGCATTGAAGTTTAAGTGACTTACAGAAACACTAAGACTGATTTCTAAGAGTCTTTCTCAAAGACGGTTTCAAGTAAAAGCGGTTAGCAGTGAAAAATCGAGTTTGTACTTGTACGTCCCATATATATAAAGCAGCGTAGTTTACCTTGGACTGAAACTCTGGGTTTCCAACAATCTAGGTGAAGGACGGCTTCCAAACTCATACAGTTCTGAAAATTGAGCATGTGGAGAGGCATTGCTTCATCCAGCATAAAAGGCAGAGGGACATCTAGACACACATCTCTGATAATTCAGTATGTTTCCTATCGTCAGTTTCAATGTAAAATCCTTTTGCTGTGGAAAACCGCGATAGAGCGAGGGTCTCCCGTGAGATATATAAGTAGCGTAGTTCCCCGATACAAAAACTCTAGATTTCCAACAAGTTAGTTGAAGGAAGTTTCCAACACAAATTCAGATGTCACAAGGGATATTGTGGAGAGGCGTTCTGTCATCCAGCATTGAAGGTTATGTGACTTACAGAAACACTAAGACTGATTTCTAAGAGTCTTTCTCAAATACGGTTTCAAGTAAAAGCGGTTAGCAGTGAAAAATCGAGTTTGTACTTGTACGTCCCATATATATAAAGCAGCATAGTTTACCATGGACTGAAACTCTGGGTTTCCAACAAGCTAGGTGAAAGACGGCTTCCACACTCATACAGTTCTGAAAATTGAGCATGTGGAGAGGCGTTCCTTCATCCATCATAAAAGGGAGAGGGACTTATAGACACACATTCTCTGATTCCTCAGCATGTTTCCTAACGCCGTTTTGAATGTGAAAGCGGTTTGCTGTGGAAAACTGGGTTGGAGCGACTGCCTCCTCTTAGATATGTAAGTAGTGAAGTTCCCTATATCAGAAACTCTGGGTTTTCAACAAGTTAGGTGAAGGACGGCTTCAACACAAATTCAGATGTCAGATGTGAGCTGGTGGACTGGCGTTCTTTCATCCAGCATTGAAGGACAAGTAACATACAGAATCACTGTGATTTCTCAGCATGTTTCCTAACACCAGTTTCAATGCAAGAGCGGCTTGCTTTGGAAAACCGAGATGGAGGGAATGCCTCCAATTAGAATTGTATGTACTGTAGTTTCACTACACCAGAAAATTTGGGTTTCCAACAAGTTAGGTGAAGGAACGCTCCAACTCAAATTCAGATGTCAGAAGTGAGCTCGTGGAGAGGCGTTCTTTCATCCAGTATTGAAGTTTAAGTGACATACAGAAACACTTACCCTGATTTCTCAGCATGTTTCTCAAAGCCAGTTTCAAGTAAAAGCGGTTTGCAGTGAAAAACCGAGTTTATCCTAGTAAGTCCCTATATGTATGAAATCATCGTAGTTTACCTTGGACTGAAGCTCTGGGTTTCCAACAAGCTAGGTGAAGGGCGGCTTCCAAACTCATAGAGTTCTGAAAATTGAGCATGTGGAGAGGCTTTCCTTCATGCAGCATAAAAGACTGAGTTATTCTGGACACAAATTCTCTGATTTCTAAGCATGTTTCCTGACGCCGTTGTCAGTGTACAACTAGTTTGATATGGAAATCCCCGGTGGAGTGATTGCCTCCTCTAAGATTTGTAAGTACCGTAGTTCCCCTATTCAAGAAATTCTGGGTTTCCAACAACGTAGTTGGAGGACGTCTCCAATACAAATTTAGATACCAGAAGTGAGCTTGTCGAGAGGCGTTCTTTCATCCAGGATTGATGGTTAAGTGCCTTACAGTAACACTTAATCTGATTTCTCAGGGTGTTTCTCAAAGCCGGTTTCAAGTAAAAGGGGTTTGCAGTGAAAAACCAATTTTGTGCCAGTACCTCCCCATATATATATGAAAACAGCATAGTTTACCTTGGAGTGAATCTCTGGGTTTCCAACAAGCTAGGTGAAGGACGGCTTCCACACTCATACAGTTCTGAAAATTGAGCATTTGTAGAGGCGTTCTTTCATCCAGCTTTAAAGGCAGAATTACTTCGAGACACACACTTTCTAATTTCTCAGCATGTTTCCTAACGCCAGTTTCAATATAAAAGCGGTTTGCTGTGGAAAACCGCGATGGAGCGAGGGTCTCCCGTGAGATATATAAGTAGGGTAGTTCCCTGATACCAGAACTCTAGGTTTCCAACAAGTTAAGTGAAGGAGGTTTCCAACACAAATTCAGATGTCACAAGGGATATTGTGGAGAGGCGTTCTGTCATCCAGCATTGAAGGTTATGTGACTTACAGAAACACTTAGTCAGATTTCTCAGAGTGTTTCTCAAAGCCTGTATCAGGTAAAGGGGTTTTGTAGTGAAAAACCGAGTTTGCGCCGGTACGTCCCATATATATGAAGCAGCGTCGTTTACCTTGGACAGAAACTCTGGGTTTCCAACAAGCTAGGTGAAGGATGGCTTCCACACTCTTACAGTTCTGAAAACTGAGCATGTGGAGAGGCGTTCCTTCATCCAGCATAAAAGGGAGAGGGACTTATAGACACACATTCTCTGATTCCTCAGCATGTTTCCTAACGCCGTTTTCAATGTAAATGTAGTTTGCTATGGAAAACCCCGATGGAGCGAGTGTCTCCTCTTAGATTTGTAGGTACCGTAGTGCCCCTATACAAGAAACTCTGGGTTTCCAGGAAGCTAGGTGAAGAACGGCTTCCACACTCATACAGTTCTGAAAATTCAGCATGTGGAATGGCGTTCTTTTATCCAGCATTAAAGGCAGAGGGACTTCTAGGCACACATTCTCTGATTTCTCAGCATGTTTCTCAAAGTTGGTTTCAAGTAAAAGCAGTTTGCATTTGAAATCCGAGCTGGTGCTTGTACGTCCCCATATATATGAAACAGCGTAGTTTCCCTAGGCCTGAATCTCTGGGTTCCCAACAAGCTAGGTGAAGGTCGTCTTCCACACATATACAGATCTGATAATTGAGCATGTGGAGTGGCGTTCTGTAATCCATTATAAAATGCAGAGTGACTTGTAGAAACACTTAGTCTGATTTCTCAGCATGATTCTTAAAGCCGGTTTCAAGTAAAAGTGGTTTGCAATGTAAAAGCGCCCTGGAACTTGTGCTTCTGTTTTTATATGTAAGTAGCGTAAGTCCCCGAGGCCAGAAACTCTGGGTTCCCAAAAAACTAGGTGACGATTGCTTCCCCACACATTCCGTTCCCAAAATTGAACATGTGGAGAAGCGTTCCTTTATCTTACCTAAGCAGGAAGGCTCCATCTCAAGCACTTACCATGGTTTCTCAGCATGTTTCCTACAGTAGGTTGAAAGCTAAAAGCATTTTTTCGCTCCAAAACCTAGTTAGAGCTTCTTCTTGCTGTTCTATATATCGGTCAGTCAGTGCCCCTAACACCAAAATTCTTTGTTTCCAACAGGATGGTGAAGGATGGCTTCCACACACCTTCGGTTTTCTCTCCTCCTCACTCTTCTGCTAAGGGAACCCTGCAGATTGTGTATCTGGAAACCAAGGAAATATTTTCATTCAGGATCAGCCTCGGGGAAAACTGAGGCATGCTCATGCTTCTTTTCCTGCTAGATTTCCTCTTGGTGCATTTCCATATCCTCACGAGTGAGTTCCTTTAACCAAGTAATTATTTCAAAGAAAATGAGCCAGCTTTCTATAGGGCCATTACTTGTTTTATATTCTTGCTTTTGAATACCTCTCTTCCATCTCTTTATCTCCAGGTGTCTTAATTCTATGTCCTTTGGTTGGGGCTGAAGGCTAATCAGCATTAGGGTAGAAATTGCTTGATATTACTGATCTATTTTCTTTCCATGGATATTTGAATTATCATTGGATTTTAGAGAAGATAGTTTCTTTAAAAAAATTCTGGTAAGCATCTTGTGGAGGATTCTGATTCTCTTGGTCTAGAATTATAATGCTTAATTTATGGATAAGAGATATTTTCACAGAGCTCAAAATTCCAAAAGTTTGAGTGTCACCACTGTCCCGAAGACTTTCAAATTTTCCTTGGGGGCACTCAGTACTGCGTGTGTGTGTGTGTGTTTGTGTGTGTGTGTGTGTGTGTGTGTCCTTCTGGAGTTAGTTTAGCCTGAAATGAGCAAAGGCAAGTACCCCCCATTTTGCACAAACAACTGACGACTTTCACAATTTTATACCTCTTAAAAATATATGAACTGTAATGTTGTAGAATTTTACAAGAGGCAGTGACCTTCAGCACTGTCAGCAATGGAGGCAGAACAGTTGGAGGGACAGCAGGTGCTCGTGCTCAGTGGCTGAAGTCACATAACATACACGGCCACCTCTGGTTACTCTTATAGGGTGGGTGATGTCTGCAGGCTTTCAGGGCTGTGCCTCCTCCCACCAAATACACATATATTAGGAAAAGTGGTGAACCTCAGTATGAGAAATAATAAAGAATTAGTAGGGGAAATTGAGTTTATTGTTTTTATAAAGAAAAATTAGCATCCATGTAGTTTAATTTCAGCTCCTAATAGACTGATGTGATGACATTGACAAGGATGCGTAAACACCTGCAAGATCATGGGGCAGGACCGGAGACTCTGAAGCAGCAATCACCACACACAAACTTCACTGCTGTCCTTGACAGCCTTATAGAATTACTTGATTAAGGAAAAGCCATAGATGTTAAATATCATCATTTTGAGAAAGCAGTTCTTTTGAAATCTTGTATACTAATGTAACTGAATTGGATAAAGAAATGCTAAATGTGTAATAAAGTATCCAAAGAGGTAATGATTACTGAAAACACCACAAATTTAAGAGGACCACAGGAGAATGTGCATATATCTACTAATGATCTGGAAGAATTAGCTCAGCAGTGTATTCAAGCTATCTAGAGATGATGTCAAAAGGGCGTGTCCTTGGATAGCTTTTTGTGAATGTTAGAGTGAAGTCAGGGTCAAGCACACAAGTTTAGTTTAAAAGCAAAAGGTGAAACAGATTTCTTTTCAAAAAGCTATTGTGTCTGGGTAGAAATCATCGAATCCATGGGTCAAGGGAAGGAAAAACTCCCTAGTGACCACGTGACTGTTTCAGGAGCTGGTAGTAAAATGACAGTTGATAATTGTGTAAATTAGATATGATCTTGATGTCCAACTGACCCAAAGATTTTTAGTCCATATGCCAAAATTATACCAAGGAATAAATAGTGATCTATGTTTTGTCAGCTCTGTTATCCCCCCTTCAAGCCTGCATTGTGATTGGGGAATGTCCCCAACTGAGAAAATAAAGAAAAAGTAGACGTACACTGTAGAGACACAGGGAGATCTGTTGAGCCAGATGACACTTGCTTTACTGTCAATTATTAGGAGGTGCAGCTTTTTGATGACTTGGGTACCACGTTGCTGCCTTTCTCAAGGTATTGCCCACGGCTCTTGAGAAGGGATGAAGTGGGGCCAAGGAATTAGCCTCCGAATGCCCTTTGCCGTGGATGTTGTCTCTGTTTTCCACTTTTAAGCTTTAGCTTAGACAAGTTGCCGTGTCTTGCCAAGTGAGCTACAGACAGTAAGTGCGTCTTGAAGCACATGGCTCTTTCCTCCTCACTGCAGCAGAGAACCTCTGCATTGGAGCATCCTGAGATGTCATCGATGATCATTTTTCATGTTAGGAATCGGTAAGGATGCTATGTCCACATGTATGAGGAGGGTAAGATTTCAGTCTCTAAACTGGTAATGATGGGTTGACCTTTTCACTTAAAGAGTCTCACATCAACAAATGCGTGTCTGTTCTGGACCAAGAAGT